TAGGCATCATCTGATACATAGGCAGAAGTATGCTAACCTAACCTGATGTCCAAATGAATGTAATAGTTAAAGTACCTTAGATTGTACGCCCATTGAGGGTTAGGGACTGATGTGAATGTACAGTATATGTATGTAAAGCGCTGCGTAAATTGACGGTGCTATACAAGTACCTGTAATAATAATAATAATAATAAGTGGAGCTCCAGATTATTTATTTATTTCAGGCACTTGTATAGCGCTGTCAATTTTTGCAGCACTTTACATATATATTGTACATTCACATCAGTCTCTAACCCTCAGGGAGTGTACAATCTAAGGCCCCTAACTTACATTCATACATACACATACTAGACAGGATCCAATTAACCTACCAGCATGTCTTTGGAGTGTGGGAGGAAACCGGAGTACCCGGAGGAAACCCACACAGGCACAACATGCAAACTCCAGGCAGGTGGTGCCATGGGTGGGATTCAAGCCAACGACCATCGTACTGCCAGGCAGACGTGCTAACCACTTAGATAAAACTTTTTCTAACAGAGTGGGAAAGAATTACATCCCTTTTGCTGTTTGTGTCCTTGTTGGGGAGATTTCACCTCACTAACTACCCTCACTAGTGCTCACTGAAAGAGGTGTTTGCATTACACATGATTCCTCATATGTTATAAGAGATAGACAATAGACGGATTTGTCCTCACTTTCTTCTCTGTAACAATAGTTTGCCAACAGGGGTGCCCGACAGCAGTACCTGACATAAATTATAACCCTTCCACTTATCAAAAATAAAACAAATTTACACTGGAATTTCCTGTCTGAACAAGATATAATAGAATATTTTGCATCTACCTTTTACCCCAAAAGAATTGTTAAAATAATATTCAGGTTTCAGGGAGCCCTGGATAAAATTAATTCAATAGAAGTTAGTGGGAAAAATGCTTCTTAAATTGGTAGTCATTTGGAAGAATGCCCCCCTTATGGTAGTGGTTAGAATGTTCCCCTTATAGACAAGCTAAAAAGATCATTGATATTATGCTGCTGGCTCTGCCAAGTGGTGTTGGACCCAGAACCATGTTGGCACCATCAGATGAGAGCTTAGTCAGCCACAGCTCAAGGAACCCCTAGGAAACTCTTGAAGAACTGTGGTTGAGAATGGCTGATCTACCTAATATGAAAACATTGCTGTTATTGTGCTTTTACTGTATTAATTGTATAGGTTAGATACATAGTACAAATCTACAATATAGAGCAGCACTGTTACACCAGAAAAAATCAGAAAAAAACAGTGCAGCGTTATAATATTACACAGTGTAAGTTGGAAAAAAATATTGAATAATACTCAATAAATATTAATAAATTAATAAATCATTAATAAATAGTTATAATAGATATAAGTGAATGAAGCGCTATGATGGGCGCAAAAAAGTAGGTGAAACTGTGAAAAGTCTTATAACAAAAAAGTGTTCATGAAATAGTGAAGGCTTGACACAATCAGGTCAAAACAAGTCCTAATGCACAAGTGATATCCAATAAATCCGTGTGTCTTTATCCGTGCGGAAGATTGTAAGAAATGCGCACTCACCAGATGCACATAATTAAAGCGCAATATGTTGAACAAGAATCTGCAGGAAGCCCACTTTAAATGGATCTGACAGACATCGTGGAACCAGGATCCTCCTCTGGAAACAAACCTCCTCTGCAACCACGCTTCCACTGGGGTCCTGGAAATCATTAGCTCACACCAGAGCTCCTCTGCTGCCACTTCCACCAATGTCTCCTCTCTACTTCCTCCCCTACTGTTAAAAAACATGTTCTTACTTTAACTTAAAAAAAAAAATCAGGTATGCATAATTTCTAAATAGTTGCCTGTCCTGGGGAACTGGTAACAGGGCGGTGCAATCAAAGAGGCCATATTCTACAAACATCAGTCATGCTGAATCAGGCCAAGCAAATGCTTTGCTGAATGCCAGTTTGCAGGGCTTGTTCACACAATGGGGGTTATTTATTAATACCAGGCAGCTGTCATTCACAGGGAAGGTTAGTGATGAAAGCTTCATTTGGGCTCAGTACAGATGTCCTGTAAGGGTCTGAAAAGGTCCACCAGGATTCATACTGTCAGAAGTTATACAGTCATTGAACATTCTTTCATCATATTATCTATACAGTATATCTATGTACAGAATGTGGTATGAAAGCATTTCTTTCCCTTCATCTTTATTTCCTATTACAATGTTTACAGTGACTCTAGGCGAGCACAGAAGAACATATAGGTGAATGGTACTACTAGAGTTAACTGGCCCTTCCGCTGTGGTTCATGATCTGAATTCTGTTAGAATAACATGGCTAACGTATACATTCATTAAACAGAAGAACGATATCTAAAAGGGTAAATTGCTTGTTGGCATTGAGTTCCTAAAGACCGATGGGAGGAAAATATTGCATATGCCTGCCGTGGTGACTGATCCTGTATGAAATATGTAAATAGATACAGAATCAATAGAGCTGTTTTGAGGATAGGAAATGGAAATCCAGATCGTAAACAGTATAGTTGTGTCTAAAGGACGGAACGTTTCATCAAGGGATTTGTTTTGTTTTTCAGATGTTGAAAATGGATGTAAACAAGCTGAACACAACATTGCTCCGGAAGTTCCGCCAGGGAGTTGCTGCAGCTTTGGGCTTGATTCCACAGCAAGTACACATCAATCGGCTCAATGTAAGTGAACTGACCTCTGTAATTGTAGGTGTATTAGTTGTTAGCTTTCTGTACAGCATGTGTTTTACAATTTGCACATTCTTCTGTTTTAACCAGTTTTACTTCATCAACTACAAGTGTTCTGTATGGCTTTTTAATTATTTTTTTCAGTGATGTATGACTCCTACTGGAAGCCCATGATTCTTTAGGCTCATTTCACACTGCCGCGAATTGGGATCCAACTTGTGAGACCCCAAGTCGCATGACATGTGAAATCCCATGTTAGTCAATGAGAGCTGCCTTAATTAGCACTACTGAAGTCGCTCCAACTTTAGAAAAGGTTCCTGTACTAATTCAACGCGATGTCTAGCTGACTTGTGCCCATAGACTTTAATGGAAGACGCCTCCAAGTTGCATCCTCATCTATATTGATTTGATTTGGATCCGACATTACAGGCCGATTACTCAGGCATTCCCTGAAAGTCGCATTGAAGTTGCTTCAAAGTCGCTTCAAAGTAGTACTCAAGTCACCTGGCTAAGTCGCACTGTAAGTCGCGCGACTTTCAAATCGCAGTAGTGTGAACTGAGACCAAGGGTTTTACAGTATGTCATGAAATAGTAACTTTCACCCTTGCAATGTTTACGTAGTTCAGGGGAATTTAGAAAACAATCATTAAATCTGATTAGGTGTTTCAAGTGAACCTGGACTGCAGTGCTATATCAGCCCCAATAGGTATAAAACAGTATGTAAACTCCCGTCATATCATTACTAATAATATATGAAGGGCAACAGCATTGGCTGCAACATATACAGTAACTGTAATAAATATATATAAGCTGAAATATCAACTTATATCCTTGCGCTTAAATAGTGGTGAATAATGAAAGACTGAATTGATAAAATTGCATAAAATATAACAAAGCAGCCGTTTTAAAAATTAATGAATATGCAAACTGATGAGTTATATCTCATGGATGGTGATCTTGGTCTGTGATATTGAGGATGAATATTCCACTGTCGGTTCTTCAATAATTATTCAGCACCAAGGTGGTTTATTTTCCACTGCTGGTTACTTACCAGCATCTAGCGAGTGTTCAATTTGATGGGGTATTAGTCACTGCAGGATCACAATGATGGTGTATTGGACTGTCTAAAAGGAATATTACATCGATGAAGTGAATTGAACTTTATTCACATTTGTACACCTTTGTGGAAGTCTATCCCATTTTCCATGTGATATTTGTGTATATTTGAGCTTAATGATTTAGGGCAATTTGAGTATAACTGAGCGCTGTTTATGAGGACAGTCATAACTACTCACCCATTTGTATGCCGCTTGCTTCTTTGCCAACACCTATTCACCGGCTCCACTTTACTAAGATCATAGTAACATTTTAATCTATAAAGTTCATCACATTAATTGTGTGGAATGTTTTCAGTTTAAGTGATACCTTTTGTTGCCTAACTTAAGTTAATAAATTAGACAATAAAGATATCATATTTAGACCCGTTTTTTCTTAAGAAGGGATGTAAGCTATCCTAAAATGTTGCATCTTTAGCTTAAATTAAGCAATAAAGGGTATCCTTTAAAGCGGAGTTCCACCTAACAAAACAAAAAAGTCAGCAGCTACAAAAACTGTAGCTGCTGACTTTTAAAATACAGACACTTACCTGTCCCTCAGTCCAGTGGTGTTTCACCACCGCTGATTTCACCGGCCGTCTTCTTACCTGGCGTCGGCATCTTCAGTGTGGGCACCTGGCTGTGACAGCTTGCAGCTTCACATCTGGGTGCCCACTGCGCATGCGTGAGAAGTGCTGTGCTTTGTGAATGGTCCCCGTAGTCTTCTGGGACCTGCCATGTGTCCCAGAAGACTACCGGGAGAGCGGGGGGAGGACAACTTCCACTTCCGATCGCCTAGGCGATCACAGCGGAAGTGAGAGTGGGTCCCTGTCAAATTCGGGTACCCCCTACCCAAAGGTGCCAATCCTTAATGGGGAGCGGGGGACAAAGGCTTAAAGCAGAACTTCCCCTTTTGGGCGGAGCTCCGCTTTAAACTCCAAACTTCCTGATACACATTAATTATAATATAAAACAATAAAAACATGCCTGCGTGCGTACAAATTGATATGTCTGGGGGAACTCTCCTCTACCTTATATAAAACCTCCTGCATTACCACCAATTATCATTATTATTATACAGGATTTATGTAGCACCAACAGTTTGCTCAGTGCTTTACATTATAAAGGGAGACAATGCAGTAACAATACAGTTCAATACAAGAGGGATAGCAGCAGGGGTGGATTGACAACTCATGGGGCCCCCGGGCAATAGGGGATCATGGGGCCCCTATGTCCTTGCCCACACTCAAAGCACACCCCAAAAAGCCTATAAAAGGTACCAGGGACATTTCATGGGGCTCCCTACTAACCCCAGGCCCTCGGGCAGTGCCTGAGTGCTCCAATGGTCAGTCCACCCCTTGATAGGAGGACCCTGCTCCTTGCAGCTTACAATCTAGGAGATGTGCATGTGTGTACTGGCTGTGTAACAATCAGTAATGTGCAACAGCATAAGCATATTTTCAAGACTTGCATTTCTTTTCTAAGATCATTTACTGAGGATGGCTACATCTACTCAATCGTGTTTATACAAGAAATTCCAAGGAAGCGAGCATCAAAGTGTATGGATCCCAGCTGTCTATCCGTGTCCTAATGTGCCCCACCCCATTTCTTTTCTAAGATCATTTACTGAGGATGGCTTCATCTTCTCCTTTACCACCTGTCTGATACGTGATCTTCAGAGCAAATCTTAGATATTACGTGATCTTCAGAGCAAATTGTTTTCAGAATGGTATGGTCCCTACTTTGCCTTTTGTATGTTACTGCCAGGGGCAGACTGACAACTCATGGGGCCCCGGGCAATAGGGGATCATGGGGCCCCTGTGTCCTTGCCCAAACTCAAAAAAGGTACCAGGGGCATCTCATGGGGCCCCCTACTGACCCCGGGCCCTTGGCCAGTGCCCGAGTTTCCAAATGGTCAGTCTGCCCCTGGTCACTGCAACACACTCACTTGTTAACCAAGATCAATTCAGGCAGTCTGGTCTAATGTATCCACTATTTGTTGACCTGCAATGTACAGTTACCTTTTCTTCTCTCTACATGTTGTTAAAGAATTATAAACAAAAATGCATAAAAAGTGTATGTACAGCTAAAACTTTTCTTTTAAGTTTTGGATAGAAGATGGAAAGGTTAGACCCTCTGACAAGTTTACATTACTGCTATGTCCTCAATGGGGAGATTCACCCTCTCGATTTGTTATGAACCCATTACCAGTGGAACAGAAATTAATGGGTAATCCAACATTTTACAGTTGTCATCGCAGCTGGAGGTGAAGGGAAATCTTCTAATGGGGACACCAGTTCTTTAGGAAACTGTTATCCTCACTTTGGAAAGATTTTCTCTTACATCTTGTTGCATCCCTAGGAAATTAGAGGAAATCTCTCCAGTGGGATACTGGCAGCAAAAAACCTGACACTCTTTCCTACTCACTCTCACTTCCCCAAAACAAATAATAAAAATATAAAGAAATATATAAAATAGCTGATTTATTTCATAAAATTAAATAAATCAGTTTTTTTTTCTTTCAAAGGTTTTCATGTATGAATGCATTGGGAGGGACCCTAAATGTACCCTGACACAAGGAAAACATATATTACTTTTTTAACTGCAGAAGTGTGAGTGAGCAACTGTATGGCATCTGTAGTCGGGTGCCAGTGAAAAGCAAAAGCTTGCAACTTAATTTCTTGCAGCTGTGGACATAAACTATTTCAGACTAAAAGCATCACTTTTACAATCACAGTATCACAGTAGAATAATACAGAACAGTTTTAGGCAGTGTCTGGTGATCACCGAGTCTACTGATATCCTGTATTTGTATACTGTATGTGCTTTAAAACCTGGCACATAGAAACAGTATTTTTCTCTAATTAGAAGTATGTAGATAAATATGTGTTGCTACAAAATGGAACAATGAAGACTATGAGTCCAATGCATATTAATACACTACCTTGTTGAGCAAGACAATGCAAAGAGCAGTATTGTTCAAAGTATAGTAGACATATCAAGCAGTCAGATTTTCTCTTTTAATAGATTTGGCTATAGAAACATGAGATCTAATTATTGTTCTCTTCACATACCCATTGCACATGTTAAATAAACTCATTAGTGCACTAACATGCATCGTTGAAAGACATTTCTTGGATCATATGTATACTGCCATCCTTCCTTGTGTAACAGTTCATATACTTGCATGCTTCAAGTAATAGTTGTAGTTAGAGCTGAGCTGAGTATTTGGCCTGAATGAAAGTTCAGGTGAAACATTTGCCGTTTGACTCTCATGGATGGACATGACAGTTTCCTGCCTGCATCCGCCATGTCCTTAGCAGCTACTGACATCATACCACAGATTCACTTACATTGTAGAGAATACCCAGCCACGTAAGCAATGAGGCAGGGATAGAGGGGTGACATAATTGCCTAAATTGCCTAAATTGGGCCACATGACCATATTTGGGCAATAACATTTGCCACATGACAAATTTGGGCAATAACATTTGCCACATGACCATATTTGGGCAATAACATTGGACAAATATGGCCATGGCATATTTGGACAATGATATCACCACTATCCCTGCCACTTCCTTTACATTGCTGGTGACAACTCAGGGAGTTGTAATTCGTGAATGGTCGTCGTTGTATTTAGGTCACCGGGGTTCATTTTCCTGTGGGGCAGGGTGCTTTGCTTGGGAGTTCCGCCTGGCAAGGTAACCCTTCATGTTGAGGGCATGTGGCCTGGAATGATTCAGGAGGTGGGTGCACGCTCACCTTTGCTGGCTAGCCAAGCTACAAGTTCAGATTAAGGGTTTTATAGATTCTGGGGGCACCTCACACACTTTATTTTTGTGCACGGTTCCTCCTTAAAATGCATAACATATTCAAAAGGGAGGGGAACCCACGCTGTTTCTTTTTTCTGCTTGTTCTTGCTCTAGGATGTACTACAGCAAAAGTTATATTTATAAAGAAAAAAATACAAATATTTTTCTTTTGCCAGAAAATTACGTTTCACTGCCGCTTTCCCTTTTTTTTTTGTTAAATAAAAATGGCATGGGGACCCCTCCAAAGGTCCCCGAAAATACTTACCAGACCCTCACGGGGGTGGAACAAGCTGGCAGGGAGTTATCATTTACTGGCATTTAAACAGCATTTTTTTTTCTTTGCAAATGTCAGTGTTCCTGTAGGAGCTTGTATAAATTGTAGAGATGCGCCACTTCATAGACAGCATCCTCCAGGCATGTTATTTAAAGGAATTTTACATTTTTAATGCTTCACTTTAAGGATTATTAAAATCACTGCTCCTAGCCAAATTAAATTTTTTTAAATATTTGTTTGGATTAGTATATGTCCCCTGGGTCAGTGTCCAGCCCCCCATGCCATTTGGTTGGTAGTCTCTAGCCTAAGAGCTAAGAAAATGGCTATACCTGATTCTGTAGATTCAGTTCCCTTTCAGAGGGATTTGGATTTAGTATCCGAATATATAATGCTTGTAGAATCCTGCTCAATCCAAACCCAGGTGTGTTTTGCTTATCATTAGTTGTGGTGTTTCTTGGGGAGCAAGGACACAGACAAAAAAGGCCCTTCAGTAGAGTGGAGAAGGGTTAGCTGCAGACATTTGGAGCTGCTGAGCTCATACAAAGCATTGACAGGCGCCACACTTGTCCAGTGGTGTTCAGGTGGAATCATACCTGGAGCATTTACCTGCGGTTAGGTATAGATGGCTGTGGTTAAGGACAAGTTGTGTCCAGGGGAAATCATCTGTCCCAAGCCACATGTAATCGCTCTATATGCGATTACATGCAAACAGCTGTGCTTGCTATCAGCCTGTCATGCTTTTTACACGCTAAGCATTCTGTAAATATCTGCAACCATTGCTGCAATAGGAGTTAAAATACCATGTGAATGAGGCCTAACCGTTACCCATTTGAGCAAAAATGTTTAAAGAAAATTTAGATAGGGTTCAACATTACGGTTGTTAACAGATAACTGGTTCTCTTTAAAAGGGTCTAATAATGTGGATGAACTTGACCTGACTCAGAAACACACTAATGTAACTGTCAGTTGTTTTGAAAGTGTAACTTCTGAACTTACAGTAACCAGAGGTAGTCAGTGTAAGTATGGTTCATTCTTGCTGTCTTTGAAGTGTGAAGTAAGATAGGAAGTTCAACTGTTTTTTTCTTTTTCACCCAGGGAAAGAAGAACTGCGTTGAGCTCTTTATTTCTCCACTAAACAAAAAGATAGGCGTCCCAGATGCTCTTCCTTCCGCAGAGGTTCTTCGTTCACTCAACCTGCATACCCTACACCAAAGATTGTCCCATTTTGGAATAACTGAGGTCTCCCCAGAGGTAAGCCTATTATTTAGTAGAGGTAAAATACATTTTTCAGATTACAATAAAAACATATATTCAAGCCTCCAAAATGCCTTCTTTATGCTGAATGACAGATACTACTTATTTGTGCCTGAAAGCATCAAATAAATTGTGACAGTGATGGTTGACCACCACAATTTGCATGTACATGAAACTGCACCATGCTAGGCATTATGGGTCTGATGTACCAGAACTAGAGAACATGAAGTCTGTGTTGCTCAATAACCTGTTATATTACAGCTGTCATTTCTAGCATGGGTTTGGAAATAGAACTGACACTTGATTGGCAGCTCTAAGCATTTTTTGCATCTCTGGTACAGATTTTGTATAGTATGACGTGGTTTCAGCATTTGCTTGTTGGTAAACTATCGAATGATTTAAAGGAATGTTCTTATTTCTAAAAACATTCAGTACCAGAAGGAACTGAAGAATATAGCATTTCTCCATGCATTAAATACTATAAACTAATATTGTACAGGTAGTTAGAGAATATGTAAACCCAACATTTTATTTTCCTGATATGTGCCTGTTGTACTATGGACTTGTATGAAAAAGTATCCTGTTCTCTTTGTATTGTTTCCTTTGTGTGAAATCCCTGCCAGTCTCTCTGCTTTCCTATTAAAAGCTGACCATACTAGGCACAAAAGCACAGAAAGGTCAGTTCTCTAGCTGTGCTGAGAACTCAGTCTGCTCTCCTCCAGTAATAAGACTTGTCCTGTCCTGTGCATTTTCAAAGACTTTACAGCTAGTATGGACCCTGCTCCAGCAAGGGACAAGCACATTGTTATGTACGACAGCTATAAAAATGGAAAAGGACTACCTGTATGGTGTTCCCATGCAGCAAAAAAAAAAGCATCTTGTATCGCTGAAAACCCCACAAGTTTAAATGAACTTTTGGGTGAGTTAGCAAAC